GAGGTGTTTCAAGAGGGAGAGAGTGGCCAATTGTGTCAAATGTGGCTGAAAGTTTGAGTAAGATGGAGACAGAGAAGTGATATTGAATTTGCAATACAAATATTACTGCTGATTTTCACAAGCGCAACTGCAGTGCGGGGGCGCGAGGAGAGAGCCTGATTACAGAGGCATGAGTCATAAATGGTAGAAAATGGTGTGGAAACTATGAGTATAGACAAATCTTTCAAGAGGATTTGCTCTGAGAAACGGAGTACACCTGCAGGAGAATCGTGGTTCAGGGAAGGGATCTTTAAGATGGGAGATACTAGAGCATGTGTGTAACCTATAGCAAATGCTCCAGTAGAGAGGGAGACGATGCATAGGAGAAGCAGGCAATTCCAAGACCAATTTCTTTGAGCAGTAAGGGAGCTAGGTATCAAGAATGCTAGTGGAAGGTGTGGCCTCTGATGGGCTCTTTGAAAAGACAAAAAGCTATGGGCAGATGTGCTGGTATGTTTGGTAGTGAAAGATGAGGAAAGACCTCTCTTTTCGCAAGGATGTATAATGCAAGGTTGTAGGGTGAGTGAAGGTGTAAAATGGTATTTTCAGAGGGTAACAAACAGATTGTACTAGGGTGGATCCTATGTTCCTGGAAGGTGAGACTGAGTATCGCAAAAAGTCAAAATTTCCAAATCAGTCTATGAATTAAATACAGTCGCAAAGAACATACCAATGGAATTTTTTTGGACATATAGCAGATGATTCAAAAGTTCATCAGAAAGAAAGTTGATGATAAAACTTAAGGAAAAGTTGGTGAGAAAAAATGAAGGAAGACAGTCTTAATAGACCACTAGAACTAGAGAAACAAGCCCAGAAATACTGCCAATTGCTATTCTTATAAATATTTATAACATAAATATTGTAACGCTTCCTATACAACAACTCTTACCACATAGCTAAACAATAAACTGAAAATAAATGTTGCCACATACATAACCGTCAAACTGTTCGTGATCTTCATCTATAAAGAGCTAGAGAAAATCATTAGATTAAAACAAAATTAGTAACATAAATGAAAACATCTGCTACATTTCATTAATATGTTTAATAAATTAGCAACGAGAGTTCATGTAATAAGTACACACTAAAAAGGGCACAGTGGGGCACGCGCTTCCACCTACTGCTCCCAGAATGTGGTGTTCCTAACTTTCTAGAAAGCAATTTGATTCTTTGTCACAAGAATTTTAAATAGTATCTTTGCCTATACCCCAGTAATTCCACTTCTAGAAATTTCACCTAAGATAAAATCAGACCCTCACATAAGAAAATTTGGGAGAATAAAACTAAATGTAAGCAATGCCTAAATGTATTACAGAGAACTCATATGATGGAGTATTACGTAGTCATTTAAAATTAAGTTTTTTCCTTCCAGTTATAAAAGAAGTAAGTCATGGGAGTGTAATGTACAACATGGTGACTATAGTTAATTATACTGCATTGCATATTTGAAAGTTTTTAAGAGAGTAGATCTTAAAAGTTCTCACCACAAGAAAAAAAATTCGTAACTATGTGTGGTGACAGATGCTATTACAGATGTGGTTACAGACTTATTGTGTGATCATTTTGCAATATGTACAAACATCGAATCTTCTGTTGTACACCTGAAACTAATAGAATGTTATACGTCAATTATACCTCAATAAAACAAATTAAGTTTCTTCAAGACTGTTTACTATTTATTCATGTCATAGGCAGAATGTTTTAAGAACTATTTGCCACACTCTGGTCTAAGCCCCTGATACTTATTGTCTTATTTATCCTCCACAAAACATCACGAAATCATCGTGAGTCCTAATATTATCACCACTTTTAAATGAGCAAACTGAGGCACAAAGAGCTTAATTTAGTGTCCAAAGACACACAGATAATAAAGAGGGAGCAGAGATTCACACACACGCATTCTGGCCTCCTGCCTCCCTGCCACTCACCCCCTACTTCTAAATTATAATGTCCCCTCTTAACAAGGAAGAAAGTTCACCAAATTTAAAATGACAAAAAAGCAAGATTTTAATCAACATATACATAACAATTCAGTAGAATACATATGTGGATAACAAAAATGAAAAGAAAACTTTTTAGGTAATTTTTGCTTTTTTTCAAATTTCAAAATTTTCTCAGTTTTCATAATGAATTTGGGTTAGTTTTATAAATTAGCTTTAGCTTTTATATTACGGTTTAGCTTTGTAGATTAAGCAATTTAAGATTGTTTTGGTCAAGAAAAGAAAGTATTCTAAGTTTTCACAAAGCACTATCCTCAACTATAATTCCAACTATGTGAGTCAGGGTATTACGGAGCTTCTTAACTGAACAGACTTAAGTTCCCAGCTTTTATTATAAACCTGCCCATACTGATAAATCCAATGATAAAATGAAGCGTATTTAAGCTTCCTAGAAAGTGAATTATATATTTTATCCCTCCTTTCCTGTGGATACTGACATATACATATACTCGCCTCAAGAATATGAACTCCTTGCAATTGTTTTGATGTTTCAAAACATGTCTGTATACATGTAAGGTCACATTTTTAAAAAATTCAAGCAATACACACAACGGATGTCTCTCACTGTTATCGTATCTCTAATCATCACTTCAAATTTGGTACTTTACATTCTCTTTTATTCATTTCTCTATTTTAATTTTAAATTGAATTTCAGGCAGTATAAAAACACCCTGTTCAGCCTTTTCCACTATGTCAACAGAGGTATTGTCTTTATTTATATAATCAATCCAAAGTGCTCCTTAATTCTGGGGTACAAATGCAGTCACAAATCTAGCATTCTTTCCAATTAATTGCTCAAACAACCATCTGCCTAATAAAGAAGCCCAATATATCTTCTAAAGATACTTCTCTCTATTAATTGTCTAAAAATCCAGTTCAACTGAGAGTGGTCCTCCCCTGATGTTAAGAAGCTATTGGAGTTTGGTCAGCCTAAAACTACTGCTGTTTCTCACTGCTGCATGATATTAAAATGGAAACTTAGTCCCCTACTGTGTCTACTTGGTAATTACGTCAGGAGTGTGTCAACAGCGTGTATTTCCCCAAGACCCTCCTCAAGGCCCCCATGACCTCCTTATTCCTGAGGCTGTAGATGAGGGGGTTCAGGGCTGGGGTGACTATTGTATAGAAAACAGAGATGATGTTGTCCTGCTTGGGGCTGTGGAGAGAACTGGGGGGACATACATGAATGTGGCAGCTCCATAGAACATCCCGACCACAGTTAGGTGGGAAGAGCAGGTGGTGAGGGCTTTTTGCTGCCCCTCATTTGAGGGCATGTGGAGCACAGTAAGTAGGATTAGTGTATAGGAGGCAACAATGACAGAAAGAGGGAGCAAGAGGAAAGTCACACCTGTCACATATACCATGAGTTCATATCTGGAGGTATCTTCACAGGTCAACTTCAGCAGAGGTGGGATCTCGCAGAGCAGGTGCCTGATTTTCCGGGATGTGCAGAAAAGGAGGTGCATAGTATACATGGTATGTCCGAGGGCACTCAGGGATGGCAGGATCCAGGATGTGGCCACCATGAGGCAGCAGACCCTGGGCCTCATGAGGACCATGTAGTTCAGAGGATAGCAAATGGCCACATACCTGTCATAGGCCATGAAGGCCAGTAGAGGTCCTCTGAACCACCCAGCAACAGTGCCAGGAACATCTGAAGGGCACAGCCCCCAAAGGAGATGGTATTTTCACCGCACAGAAAATCCAAGATGGCCTTGGGAGTGACAACAGATGTGAAGAGGAGGTCCATGAGTGAGAGCTGCCTGAGCAGGAGGTACATGGGCACGTGGAGCCGGGCATCCACTGTGATGATGATGAGCAGCAGGCCATTGCTGGTCAGGCCCAACATGTACAGGACTGTGATTGTGGCACAGAGCAGCTCAGGAGACCCACTGTCATTCAGAATCCCCACCAAGATGAAGCCACTTTCCAGAGTGGAATTCCAGTGCTCCATTCTGTGTTGTTTGTTTAGTTGCCTAGAATCAAATGGATTCTCAGTGAAAGCCTTTCCAAAGAAGTTCACCCTAGTTTTACATTGTCTCATGTCACTATGGAGTGGCCCATAAGAATTCCATGAGATGGTATCTTTTCCTCTTGGTGGCTATGTTTGACATCTTACTTCTGAATTTCTGAATCTCTTCACTGATTTATGAGAAAGCATGTTGCTAATAGCTAATCATTTAGAAATCCCTTTAAATAAGCTATCCAAGAAAACGTGCCTAAGCAAACATCTTTGTAGATAGATAAAAACATATCTATCTGCATCATAAAGAAACACACGGGCCATTGCTTTAAAATCTGGCTGGTTTTCTTCTTAAACTATACTTGAGATCCCAATTCAGTTTTTGAAGGGTTTTTTTTTTTTATAATAAAGCTCTATGACATCTTCTCCACAGATGTGACATCTGCCTTCACTTCCTGGTCTCACTGTTGTTGACATCTTCCTCAACAAGGAACCTCTCGGCTCTTGGACCATTTGATCTCTTGTGTTCTTGAACTATCCTCACATCTTTAAGAGCATACCACTACTCTGTTGGAGGGAAAAAGAATTCTGGGCTGAATCGAATGGTTGGAGTAGTATAGATTTTGGAGGTTGACGTGCAGGAACAGTACAAAAAGTGTTTGCTTATTTGCAGGTAATGATAAAACATTTGCTTGGGCAGAATCAGGGAAAAGTTAATAGATGAGATTTGCAAAGATCCCAAGGTGTTTGTGTTTAGGGCATATGATATAAGGGGTGAGCCATAAAAGAGGAGACTTTATAGAAAAGTCCCAAAGCCATCCTGCAGCCTGCAAGTAAAAGCAAGACCCTGAACAGGAAAAGGAGATTCTTCTATCTGACAAATCTAGCAATGTACAGAGGAAAGCTGGTCCTACTGAACCCTGAATCTATATGATAGTACTGGTGGAAGGTGTTGAGGAGGAGAGAAAGTGGAGAGTGTGGGGCGTGTGGGACAGTGTTCAGTCAGCTGTTCTTTATGAACGCAGCTCTTTCACAATTGAATGCAGAGGTTAGGAAGCTCTCTGGAAGAGAAGAGAATAATTCATGAAAAAATTCTTCATCATTCCCATGTAGCATCTGCTCCTACTCCTCCTATCTTCTGTGTATGTCATCATCCTGGTCAACTTAAAGTTGGGACCTTGAAGTGGTAGGATCATAAAATCCTGAAATTGGACAGCCCATCTGATCCAGCTCCTTTCATTCACTCAATAAATATTTACTAAAGACCTACAATGTATCAGGCACTACACTTGATGCTAGGGAAATGGCATACATGTGAAAAACCCATTACACAAACACCTACATTCATCCACTGGTGATGGTTGATATATGAAGGAAAGTATACGATGAGTCCACGTAAGTAAGGTTTCAGGAAAGAATTCCCTGAGGACATGACATATAAGCTACGGGCTGAGGATGATTAGAAGGTGGCTAAAAAAAAAAGGGTCAGGTATGACTATAGGGAAAGGAAATAACATTACAAAGGTCAGGACACTGAACCACAGTTCAAGAAGTCCTCCCTGCAATTCTGCTGCAATGAAGTCTGAGCAAGAAGCCAGCCAGGAAACCGTCCCCTGTAAAACTGTGTCTCATAATTCCTTGGAGTCTGAGATCTTTCCCTTGCCTTACAAAACCAAAACTATGGGTTTAAATACGAAGGATTGGCATGAAGACCTTCTTTGCCTACTGACAACAACAAGACAAATTCAAAGACAATTTTTAGCATTGCTCCTGGTTAATATTTGACTTGAAATATTTTTTCTTTTGTTGACTAAAAATGATGAATGGATAGAGTAATATATGGAAGAAATAATTAATTGGCATATTTTTCAAGATTTCTGCACCAAGAGGTTTTTCAAAGAGCAGAAAAAACAGGGCTTAAGGTGCTAATCCTTAGGACTCAGGATCCTACCTATCTGTCTTCCACCCCTTGATTCAGACTCCTCCTTTCCCTACTTTTCCATTCTCTGGTTCCTCTCCTCTAGGCCATCTGAAGATAAAGGCTGGAGAACACACACTGGGCATGCAGAGGAAGAGCCTGCTCTCTGGAAAACTGCTGTTGGTGGGGACCTCAGACCAAGAGATGTCAGCAGAGACAGATTAACAGGCAGACGTTATTGTACTTCACAGAAAATGGTCAGACAGAGCCAATTAACAAGATGAAGCTAAAAATTTGGAAGCATATTTTATGGTTTTATTTTGTTTATTACTTTATTATTTTTATAAGTTATTTCTCTGTATCATTTCTCAGGATATTTCAAAAATTTCATTGACTTCAATTGGCTTTTTCTGTGGCTTTGGGCTGTAGTGTAAAGCAGGCGTGTAGGGAAGAGGCACTTCAACTGATTCTAGATGATTGTCTTTTGAGGTACCACTCTTTTAGGGGCACACGTCAGACTATTAGAGGCCAGGATAATCCAGGTCCAAAGGTAAGAACTGAGACTTTTTTACCAGGGCACCAGCATCGGGAAGTACAGGAACCCAGGTCTGGCCAATGGAACAGACGCATATGTACCCGCACACGCAGAGTGCCCAGAGTGTAGAAGGGAGTGGGTGAGCTATAAAGCCTGAGGGACTAGAGAATCTGAGAAGCAAAGCAGTGAGGTCTTAACCTTGTTTCTCAAGACTTCAGGACTCCACATAATTCTGGATACAGAGGCAGAGCCCTTACCTCAGATGAGGAGTGGCACAGCTGCCAGACCACACCTACTGCCCTGTGATTCGTTTGAGGGATGAAGATGTTCAAGATGATGAAGTCAGAAGAGGTGGTTCTTCTGGCAGGGTGGGATGTAGAGGTGTGCCTGGCTGTGTCTGAGATCAGAGGTCAAAATCTCCTCCAGTCACTGGCATTGCAGATCCTCTCTAGGGGTAGAGATAGATGCAGACAGGCAGCTGAGAACCTAGGCAGGAAGCAAGGAGCTAAATCCCTCCCAACTTCTCTTGTCCATTCTCCTCGTGAGAAAGCCTTCACAGCCTTGGCATGGTTCTGGCCAAGTCCTTGAGTCCAAGTACTCTGATTTTCATGTGGTCCTCTCCTGCTGGGGTCCATGAGAAAAGATGAGCACAGCAGGAATCTGGGTAAAGAGGTATGAGAGGAGCTTCCCCAAGGAGATGCTACGGGGCCCAGCCTCACTGCCCCTGGGGTAACAGTGAGCTGGGGCCCTGTCCTGGGGGAGGCATCATGGTCTCATCCCCTCAGCTGACATGAAAATGCTGATCCAGGAAACAAGATTTTAATGAATCCCCAGGCATATCCTGGCCTCCCACTCCTGCAAACTTCACCCACTAAATGAGCTCTGAGGCCTGAGGGCTTGTTTTGCCTCACATGGACTTACTGAGGCTGTTTCCAAAACCCTATCTATAGAGGCAGTGTCAGTAATGGACCTAAGAACAACCCCCACCCCCCGCCCAGTCCTCTGCTCAAATTATAAAGTATGTCTCAAGAGCACTGTGAATGCTGCCACTCCCGGTCTCCCTCTTTGTGCCTCGAGCATGAGCTATTACCAGCCAGAGGGAACTGAAATCAGCAGTGCTTCTGTTCATGTCAGGTCTTCCTTCCTTAACCTTTAATTACCATCAAAGCACTGATTTATTGGACCTTTCTGTGCTTTTAAGTTATTTGTTGCTTCTTTCTCCTTCTAATGTACATGCACACGTATGTGCAGGAATGTATATATGTCCCTGCTCTCTGTGTCCAGTGGGCTCAGCTGCTTAGAGCCCTGGGATGATGATACAACACCCGCCTCCACCCATCACTGCTTTAGTTCAGGCCATTCTCTCCCTCAGTTTTCTGCCAGGTCTCTCTCATTCTTCAGTCTCTCTTTAATCACTGATTTTGTCAGTAAATGCTGAAACTGTTACTGGAGTTATATCTTTTTCTTTCAACTTTAAGAAAATTAAAAATAAGTTTTCATTTTCTGATTGTAAAAAGGCAAAGATACTCAAGAAAATTACTGCACAAGTACAACAAGAGAAATATAATACAAGATCTTTTTATTTTTCTTTTTATAAAAGGAACGTACTCCTAAGGTTTTACACATATAAAATGTTAGAACAACACTATTCACAATAGAACAAAAACTGGAAACCACCCTTATGTCCATCAACAATGGAATGGATAAATATTCACTCATGAGGATAGTATAAAGCAATCAAAACAAAGGAACCAGAAGGACATACAACCAAAAGAATAACTCAGTAATCTAATATTACGTGAAAAAAGGGAGTCCTAAGCATAATATATCATGATACTCCTTTCATAGAGTTAAAAACTCAAATAAAAATAAACTTCTTATGAATGCATTTAGATTCAGTAAAAATACATAAAAGAGCGAAAAAGAGAATGATGGACATAGGACTTTGAACAACAGTTACTACAGTGAAAGGAGGCAGAGACCTAATGGTTAGATGAAGGATGTTATCAAGGTCTTAGCTTTTGTTTCTGGATGGTGAGTTCATGGTAATGATGAATGAGGTCCTAATGCACCTGACTTTCAATCTTGCTTTCTACTTCATAGATAAAATAAAGATCAGAGGTGATTACATCCCTCAGATGCAAACTTCCTTTCACCTCTTCATTATCTTCTGTAGGAATTATTTTTACTGCTTTACCTTTTATTTCAAAGGAATGAATGCACCTTCTCCACTTGAGCATTGACTTCTCCAATTATTACTGAGATTCTATCTTTCTCATCTTCACTGCCTGCTCTATCTCTTTGATCCTACATTTACATGTTCTTCTTGTATCTTAAGGTCTCTCTCAATCCTCTGATTAAGCTTCCAAGGATGATGAAGATTTCCCTGTTCACAAAACTGTCCCTTGGGCCAGTCCCAGTGACCTAGCGGTTAAATTCGGCATGATCTACTTTGGTGGCCTGGGTTCGGTTCCTGGGCACCGACCTATACCACTCGGTTGTCAGTGGCCATGCTATGGTAGCGCCTCACATACAAAA